TAAATCTGTAATAAATTATCTGTTTAGTGCGGAAATAGTAAGTCGAATCATTTACTGACAGAAAACGAGTTGCCATCATTTAAGTTATTGATATATTTTGGGCTCTGAGGAATTGTAATTGGTACTTTTCTGTATTTTCTGACTAGATGAATAATTGATTACAGAGATAAACAGATAAATTAGTTAGTTGCAGCCCTAATATATTTACTAGCCAAATTACTTAAAACTATTATGTGATAATCACTGAACAGTTTCAGAGTCAACTCATTACTTCAGTTTATCCATCAACGTCAGTCCAAGAAAATAAAAGTTAGTTTATATTTACATTCCAACAATCGAGGCTAGTTAACTCGAGTTGCATTTAAACATCATTAAACATCATCCCCTGTCTCCATGGCAACAACTGACATACCCTTGGGCAAGGCACTGTGTCTGACTGCTTGGCAAACCCGCTCAGTGCAAAAGATGAATGTGGTTGAACCCGTCGGCTCAGGTGTACCTGTGAAACCAGTGCTGCTAATAATAGTTTTCTATTCTAAATCTTGATTAAAACGGGGTCCCTGGACGAATTGTGTCTTAATTAACAAGTCTGGTGTGAAACTCTTACATCATCACGGCGTCTCTTATCACGCCGTTCATTACGAGGTAATAACTTTGTACTTCACACAGACACACTGCAGACCACAAGCCAGGATCTACCATAACAAATCTATTTCCAATCGCTGTCGACGAGCCGGAGAGGGAGGAGAGAGAGAAACAGGGTGGCGGAGTGATGAAGATGGAACGACAGAGGGGAGACGGCTGGGTCAGAGGAGAGACAGCTGGACTGACGGAAAGGAAGAAGGGATTGGTTCAGGGCGAGAAAGAGAAGGAGACAGAAAGTGCAAAGTCACAGGAGAAGGAAAAGTTTAAAGTGAATATTTGACAGCCCCATGTGACTTGCAATCACAGGACTGTTACACCATCCCGTCTAGAGGACATTCTCACGCAAGACTCATGACCCGAGGCTATCAGCCGTCAGTCTCTGGGTCAAAAGGGAAACTGTTTTTCCTTCAGGGGGATCTGTGGTTTTCCAAGGATATACACACCTATTCATTCTGAGTGAGACAAACCAATGAAGGCTTTTCTTTAGGAATATAAAAGACATATGGCAAGACAGTTAAATTGTGATAAAAAAATAAAGGAATTTGTCTTCAATCTCATTTTTAGTTTTAGGAAAATCGTACCATGAACCTGGTATCAGGAATTGTATTAAATCCTGAGTGTGTTGTTACTTTTCTTGCAGTTTGAGGCCTTTGAAGGTGATTTTTTAGCCTAGTTTAACTCAACTGAATGTTAATGGGAGAGCACAAACTAACTCAGCTATACTGTACATATTTATAAAGTCACTAACGTCATCAGAAAAAAATAAGATCATTTAAATTTTGTTATAAAATGTGTCTGTTTATGTGTGCCGCCTTTTTAGAAATGTCACACTCAACAGTTAACCTGCACAGTTTTCTAACAGTATACTTCTATCCAAACACCAGAATAAAGGAAAACTATTCCACACTGACGAGTGAAATTTACCAGAAAAACAAAACAAACATGTCATTTATAAAGATTTTAAATTAGAGAAAAGCAGCTAGTCCTCAAATTTGAGAAACTAGAACAAGAACCTTTTTCATTTTTCCTTGACATGAAAGAGTTTATCAGCATTACTCAGCTCTAGTTTGTGATTTCCCAACTGAGTTTCACTTTCTTGGACTTAGTTCATTGGGAGTCTGAACCAATCACGGTTAAAAATACTGCCCCTGTTAAAAACACCTAATCCCACTGAAATACACAACACATTAATTTACACGTAATTTACAAGTGGCAAGAAAAGAGCGACTGCACCGCTCTCTGTGGATTAAAACTTCAATTAATGTTGCATTTCTTGCCACACCTCAATAATTAATCTCATGTAAAAAGCATGCATTTTACATTTGGATAGCTGATTGAAACACTTTGAAATGCATTGTGCACTAAATGTTCGCATAAGAGAAGTTATCTCAGGACACTTTTCAAATCTCTCTCTTGAGGAATAATTTGCAACCATTTAAACCCACAAGAACTGAAAGATAAAACTGTATAAAAATAATAAATACTGAGACGGTCTCTCTCATTATTTGGGGAATGAATGAGTCGTGTGGTTCTGTAAAGCTCAGCTCCTGCAGTCGTCTACAACTCCTTTTTTAATTCTAATGTCAGAGACTGAATACGAACCCTGTCAGCCTCCTATAATGTGGGGATAGAAATATCAATACCAAATACCAGTGAGCCAGAGTAGGAATCCCAGCTGGGGGATAATTTTAGGTTTTCAAGGGGTCATAGCAGAGACAGGAAACTGTTACACAGCACCACAGCTAATTGAAGTCACTGTGATTAGAATCTGCAGGTAAATGATGAACAATATCTACAATTACACACAGAAAACAAACAAGTTATCAGTCAGAAAGGATGTACAGCTTCTCAGATGTGAGGATTTTCTCTTTTCTGTCTCTATATCATTGCAAATTGCAAAACACTGGATAAAGAAAGATATTTATATAAGACATCATCTTGGACCCTGGGAGACTGTGGTGGATTTCCTGACATTATAAACACTGCAATCGATCAATAGATGAGCAAAAAGGTTAGTTGCAGCTGTAGTGTGTATAATAAATGACCAGTGTGTAGCTGCAGTGATAATCCCCCCCGCCCCCCCGCCCCTCTCTCTGACCTATTACTCGTCTTCTATCTAGGTGTAACCTGATTTGATGTGACTGGCTTTTGTATGAGTCACTGATAACCGCTTTCACCAGAGCTCCTTCTGATGACATCATCCCCTCAACCCTTACACAGACCGTCTGACTCACAAAAATAATACGATATGGAAAAAAAAAAAAAAAGAAGGTTTCCTGGACATCTACTGTAAGATAAAGATGAGTCAGATATGATATCCCAGAAAGAGTCACTCCCTTTGAAGTTTATGCATCATTTAATATATTTAATAATGCATTTAAAACAGATGATAGCTTGCCTTTTAATACTAAGGCTAAGCAACAATGGCTGTTTAAATATCTCCGTCTGCCTGTGTCTCCCTGATAATCCCATCCTCTAAAAAGGCTTATACAGTATCTGGACATGGATAGCCATTGTTAGATTGTGTACTCTGCCATTTGAGTATTATATTATTTACTTACATTCACCAGTACTTCAGTAAGTTGATTACTAAGCTGATACTACATACTGATCAGAGCATTCGTTAGTTAGTTATAAGTCATTATCAGTAGTAGAAACTATTTTATGAACGTGTGCAAATGATCTGTGTGAAACTACAGATACAGAGAGTACACTGCTAGAAGCCACTAATTCCTACACACTGGACCTCCCTGTTTTTATTCCGATGTTGACTCTACGCTACTGTTTGTTTTATTTTAATCTTCTTTTATTCTCCTGCTAGTTTGATAGTTATATTCACTGACATGCTCCCAGAAGAAATCATCACACACACACACACACACACAAAAAAAAGACAAATCCACAAGCAGACATATACTGGATGTGAGTAACAGTGACCCAACTCCATATTGGTTTTATAAACTGATTATCAAAACAAAAGAAAACCAATACACATAGGCAAAGCAAGAAAGATGTATTATCATTTCTGGCCAAAAAAAAATAGATCTACTTTGGTAGCCTGTGCTCATAATCACAGTTTGGAGACAAAGGGTTAAATAACTTGTGTACTACCTCCTCAGGAACAACCATGATTTCAAATGGAGGACAGCAATCTCATTAAAAAGATTACAATTACGGTTAATGACAGACCCAAAAAGACCAGAGCCATAGTGTGTAATAAAGTTCTGATCACATCTTCTGCCATCAACATGCACACACTCTCACACTACCCCACACAGTCAGCACAGTTTGTAATACCACCTGCCACTCCATATACACATCACATGAGGACAGAAAAAGACGGCAGCTCTGCTCCAGCTATTTCAGATTCGCTCGTAAGCAAACCAATAATAGGAACTGCCCCACTGAGAACAATACAGTGGAAATTATCCAGGCGACTAAGCTATATATTCTTAAATAGACTGGCTGTTTTTTTTTGTTGACAAGCTATAAATCAGCTTGCATGGGCAGTTGCACCTGTCTCACCAACATTTCCAAAAGACAGATCAAAAAACACATTGGCCCCTCACTTGGCTACAGACCAGGCTGCAAATCCGGATTTATCCTGTGATATGTTCCCACTGTTTTCCTCAGGACCCAGTGGTGTAGTCTTAATTTATGCCCCCAAATTGTATTTAAAAGTGGCATAAAAAGCGACTTTATAACATTTAGTTCACCCAAAACGTGACGCAGTATTTGCAAATGATCACTGAACTTCTGCTGCATGACTTCAGGCAGTAAGGATCATTAAGAAATAAACATTGAACCCACAGAAGAGATGCAGATTCTGCAGCACTGTACAAAACCGACAAAAACTACATAATTATGCATATTTAATAAAGTATTATTGCTCATTCCTGACTCCTCCATGCAACACTGGACAACTTCACCAGCTTAGAGGAGCACAGAGACCACTACTGCACATCAAAGGGGGGGTTTACCTCAGTGCTCACAGACAAATAACCACCAGTTATAGCCCCCACTGATCGATACACGACTCCCCCGGGGATCCCCTCACTCAGACTGGAGGGGGCTCTCGGTTCGCGACCGGCGAGCGAACTAGAAAATACCGGTCGGCTCGAGAATCAAAACCGTGGTTAAAGCGGATAATCTCCAGGCACCGCATCAAAGGAACACACACACACACACACACACACACACACACACACACACACACACACACACACACACACACACACACACACACACAGCATCCATGTTTGTTAGCCAGTGAGCGATGTGCTCGCTAACTAATCCAAGGGCAGTAAAAGCTGACTAATGTTAGCCTGGCTGGCTAACTGTGTGCATTTTCTTACCTTCTTTCCTTCCCGGGCGGTGTAGCTGTCTGTTGTTATTTTTTATTTTATTTATTTTTTTTATTTCCAGTTTTTTGCTCTCCGTCGTTAAACCATTCAAACAGCCGTTGGTACAGTCACAGAGCTAACGGCTACACCAGCAGGGCGCGAGCTGTCAATCCGGTCGCGCGTAAAAAAAAAAAAAAAAAACCTCCCACTCACCCCTGCGTGCTCGCTCCCGGTGACAGCGGGGGCGCGTACGTTTACGCTTTTACTCGCAAGCCACGCGTAAACGGTAAAAAAAAAAAAACTAGTTGGTGAACAACCTCAAGAAGCGGGAAGTTCAGGTATTTGTACACGATTTTTTTTGTTTTAAACTTCAGTTTCGGGTGAAGCTACTTCAGGGCCACTCATATACGGAGTTGGCTGTTGTTGCTACGTTGTGAAGGACTTTAAATAGCCGGGTAAAATGTCCGAGTTTGGCCTCCGTCGCTCGTCGGGTTTAGCCGAGTCACGGGCTAACGTTAGCATCGACAGCTAGCTGGCTAACCGCTACTTTTGTTAGCTTCGCCTTTTTAAAAGTCTTTTTAATTCAAAACCAGCGGCTCAAAACTCGGAAAACCTCTAGATCAGACAGTAACAGCAGCGTGGCGTCCAGATACGGTGTTTGTATTGCACGAAATGGTTGTAAGAATAAAAAAAATAAGTGGCAAATCGATTTCCAGTCGCTAACTCGTTGAGTTCATGTCAAAAATGTTTTTAAGATTTGAGTTTGTCTGCTTCAGATTAAAAAGCAAAGTGAATTTAATGGTGTTTCTTTATTATGTAATATATATGCTGCCCAATACAGCAAGTAGAAGTAAAATGACTTAGTAGAATTTAAGTAGTTAAAGTAAAACTACTTGTAGTAACTAATATTAAGGGTTGTACTGACAGTGTATGAACTATAAAACTATTAGACAAACTATTATTTGTCCTATTTTCTAGTAGTTAGAAATAGTTTCTCTATGACCCTTGCCGTACTGTGAAGTATAGAGATTTTATTATAAAAAATAACACATAAAAGTTGTACTTTTCTGTCCATGTGCACAAATTCATAAAGAAATTCTGGTGTTTAGTTCAATAGAAATGATCCCGTAGCACTAAATATTCCAGCTTATGTTTCCTTGTTTTTATAGTATTATTACTCCCATCAATAATACTCCTGTGTGCTCTTGTAAACCTGACACCTTGCTCTTTGTTTTTTTTTCCAGTATTCAGGCAGGTTGACAGAGAAATCTAAAAGATGTCGTCAGGCGCTCTCTTTCCAAGCTTGGTGAGCGGCTCGAGGGGAAGCTCCAGCAAGTACCTGGTGGAGTTTCGTGCCGGTAAAATGACCTTGAAGGGGAACGTGGTGACACCGGACAAACGCAAGGGCACAGTGTACGTCCAGCAGTCCGACGACTCCCTGATTCATTTCTGCTGGAAGGACAGGACGTCTGGGAATGTGGATGATGTGAGTATCTGAGAACATATGACTCCTACAGATTTTGAAACTGTTGTTCAGACAGTTCATACACTTAAAGTGATCATACACTTCCAAGTCTGAGAACAGGCCATCATTTTAGTTCTAGCACAGTATCATTTGTAGTATCCCGGGTTTGGGTCAGGACCTATGGTTGTATTTTGTTCCCCATCTCTCTCTTCCCTTGTTTCCGGTCATCTCTCTAAAAAAAAAAGGCTAAAATACACCCAGAAATGTAACATTTGTGGGGTTGTCTGTATTGTCCAGCTAACACAGGCTTTTAATTTACATTCTGATAATGATATATTGGATCAATAGTCATTTTAATTTTTACTTAAACGCATAACAGTTTAATTTTTTTACAATTTTAACTAAGTGAGACATTTAACAGTTGAAAAATAAAGTCAGTCAGGCTACTCTGGTGGACAATAAGTTAACATTTTCACAGCCAATGTGTCCGTCCAGCTTTAGTCAGATGTACTTTAGGATGTCAGTGATTCTACTGGGAGTGAAATGGATCTAACCATGCTTGCGCTTTGTTGTTTTTATGATGATTCGAGGTCTGTCGCTGTGTGGAATTTAACCTTACATGTCAACCCCTTGAAATCAAGCAGATCCCTAACTAGGCCAACAGAACTGTCAACTAGAATTAGACTAGAACTTGTACTCGATGGTGCATACTTTCAGTAAACAACTGTGTTGTTTCTGAGTATTCTTTGACAGCTGGTTTGATCAGCATGACAGAAGTTGTGACCACGTTCAGACATGTTGTACATTGCACAAATACCACAGAGAAAACGTGGTAGTGGCAGCACTAGCACGAAAAAAGGCATCTCAGTTTGTCATTTTCCTTTTTTTCCTATCCATTCTGCATTCGTACGTAAAAGCGTTTTTCATACAGCCAATGCTGACACATTACATCCTAATTTAGCTGTCCTTCCACAGAGCAGGCAAGGTGACTGAGTCTTTATTTCAGAGCTGCAGTGATATGTCGCTGCCTTTGTTTTCCCTTTTTGTAATCGGTTGATGGTGAGTTGTTGTGGCAGAGCAACCCCAGTGTTTTGTCCCTCTCTGTCTTTAATGACTCATGTTGTACCCTTTTTCTGTTCCAGGATCTGATCATCTTCCCCGATGACTGTGAATTCAAGAGGGTGAACCAGTGCACCACCGGACGTGTCTACGTGCTGAAGTTCAAGGCCGGATCCAAGAGACTGTTCTTCTGGATGCAGGTGAGAGGAAGATGCTCCTCGTCTACTTGGAGGGAGGAGGAATGAACTCCATCTTTTGTGAAAGCGTGACATCTGTGTCTATTTGTGTGCAGGCAGATGGATGTTCAAGTGGTAAAAGGAAGTAGGAGGCAATAAGAGCGATGAGCAGAGATGATGACAGGATGTGCAGGGCTGTAATCAGTTTATTCGTCAGGCAGACACGTATTTAATATTTATTCTCATCAGTAGCTTTGTCCTTTCATCTGCTCTAGTCCAGAGGGTTGTAGCTGTGGACTTTTTAATATATATACACTTTTGTTAAAATAGATTGTATGGTCATTTTGGGCCCCCCACAGTCACCTGGTAGGAAAGTTGCAGATTTTGTCAGGCCGGGATCTTTTTTTTAAAGTAATAGACTGGGCTCGGCTCGATCTCAGGCTCATTTTACTTCTCTCCTTTCATTGTCCCCATAGTGCATGTGTGTGTGTTTTTGCATGTATCAGCAGAGAGAGCTTTTTAACTTCCCTCCTTTCACTGTGCCCGGCTGCGGCTGAAGAATGTCAGACTTTGTCGGGCCGGGACGAGGGCCGGAGTTTTTTGGCCCTTGCACGGCTCTAGTGTGTAGAATTCTGTTACTTAGGGCCGCATGGTAGCTCACCTGGTAGAGCATGTGCCCCATATAGGCCGAGTCCTTACCACAGCAGCCCTTTGCTGCATATCATCCCTCCCCCACTCTCTACCCTCTTTTGTGTCCATCTTCACCTGTCCTGTCAAAATAAAAGCATTAAGAGACCAAAAATATCTTAAATTCTGTAATTTATGAAACCGAGACAAAAGCACAATTAGTTTAAATTTACAGTGGGAATATTTTGTCCTTTATGTTAATCTGATCTTTCTGTTGATGTCAAACCTGCCTTGTGCCACCACTGGGGAATATCTGTTAATTTACTCTGTGGATAATGCAGGTCTGATTTCAAAGAATTCCTACTTTCCTGATTTCCATTAGGAGCCAAAGACCGACAAGGATGAGGAGCACTGTCGTAAGGTGAACGAGTACCTTAACAACCCTCCCATTCCTGGAGCGCCAGGCAGCGGAGGCGGCAGCGGCCATGAGCTCTCCGCACTCGGGGGAGAGGGAGGCCTGCAAAACCTGCTGGGAAATATGAGCCACAACCAACTGATGCAGCTGATTGGACCAACAGGACTTGGAGGACTGGGTGAGCAGCACTGGATGTTTCTTTGACACGTTTTTTCCTTGTACTTTGTTACACACCCTGTCAGCATTCCTTTTAAATAAGTATCAGACATCAATTTGGACCCTTTTTGATTTGTTTGTGTCTGTCTAAGGAGGTCTGGGAGCTCTAGCAGGACCAGGACTTGCTAACTTGCTGGGTAGCGGAGGACCAGCCACTAGCAGCTCCTCATCCAGGTGAGACAGAACCCCACACACACATCAACTCGCATCCCCACTGCCATTACAGATGTAGGACAGAGTACATGTAAAAATATCATATAAATCTGGCTGCTTCCCATACCTCTGTCCCCCTGCTCCTCCTCCTCAGCTCTCGTAGCCAATCAGCAGCAGCTACTCCTTCATCAGGTGGAGCCTCCAGACTGAGCTCCTCTCAGGCCCCCACCACCCCTGTGACTCCTGCTGCCTCAGCTGTCTCCCCTACTACTGTTGCTCCCTCCACACCAGGTACATATTGTACAGTGTCATCATTATGTGTCAGTCATCTGCCAGTTAACAATCACTGCTTTTATTTTCTCATTCATGACAGACAGATTGCTTCATGTGACGCTTTAAAATCCCCTTAAAATCACCAAGCCTTACAAAGCAAGAGGCGCAAGTTGTGTTTAGTGTTTGATTAAAGTATAAAAGTGTTTATATATATTTAGAGAGTTGTAATGACAATAATTCATCATAATGCATTTTTTAATGAAGAGAAGAAAACCAAAAGTATCACGTTTTAATTTTTAATAACATGTTTGCATCGACACTTTGTTGTGTCTCATTCACAGCCTCAGCTCAGACCCCAGTGGTCCCAGCCTCTGCTGGAAGCCCCGCCTCCCACCAGCCCATCCAGCTCAGTGACCTTCAGAACATCCTCGCCACCATGAATGTGCCAGCTTCTGCGGCTGCTCAGGGATCAGCCGGTGAGCAGCAGATAATTGAATGTGGGGTAGACGTCTTGGTATAGTTCTGATTTAGGACTTCATTATTGCTACTAATCTCACTGTAAGTATAAAAAACAGCATCAGCTAAATCCCATGTGTCCTGGAAAACCTGGAAATTTAGAGACTAGTTTTCCAGTCATGGTTAAAATGACAATGTATTTTGTCCCTCGCTCAGATTGTCTACATAAACCCGGGTGTGTATTTTGTTTGCAACAGTTGGGAGGATACGCTGCACAGTATGACACTTCCGAACTAGAATCAAATGTGTCAATACTAGGTCTACTGGAAAATTAGAACATGTG